GTGAGTGGGTGCATAATCGTGATGAAGCTGCCAGTCACCAGTTGCCCATAGCTGCAACCTTCTGAATCATCTGAATAGTTTCTGCAGAGGAGTGTTCAAGCATAATGCAAAATTTGATGAAGATTCATTGCTTTACTCGCTCAGTCATTTTGAATGGGACAGCCACACAGTACACATGCTCACTCAATGGCGTCTACCACCCCCACTGACTAGTACAGTGAAGTCGTCATTGTTCACACATGTGCATTCCAGTCCACTCTCCTTGGTTTCCAGGTTACAGCAATGTTGTGCAAACGATTCTCTTTATATTAACAATGGCTTGACTTTTTCTGGACAGACCTTGTAAACCAATAGTGAAGATAAAATTAAATCCTTAAAAAAAAAAATCCCAAGGCAGACAGGAAAAGGTGTGGGAGGGGAGGAACAAAGAACAGATAGGACAAACAGGAAACAACTGGCAAGATCGTTGAGTTAAACTCAACCATACCAATAATTAGATTAGATATAAGTAGTCTAAACATCTCTATTAAAAAGCAGATATTATCAGATTGAATTTTAAAAGACTCAACTATCTTCTCTCTATAAGAAATCCATTTTTAATATGAACATATAGATGGAATGAAAGTAAAAGGGTGGAAAAAGATACACCAGGCAAATAGTAGCCAAAAGAAAGCCTACGTGGCTACATTAGTATCCAAGACTTCAGAGCAAAGAATATTAGTAAGGCCAATAAAGAAAGACATTTCATAATGATAAAGGGTGAATTCAACACAAAGACATAACAATCCTCAATGTGTACACACCTAACAACAGAATTTCAAAGGAAATGACAAGAAAACTGATAGCACTGAAAGAAAAAATGGACAAATCCACATTATCGTTGGAGACTTTAATACTCCACTCTCAGTAATTGATGGAAAAAGTAAACAGAAAGTCAGTCACAGTCTAGAAGATCTGATCAACACAAACACCAGCTTGGCCTGACGTTGACAGGAAACTCCATCCAGCAACAGCAAAACACACATTCTTTCTCAGTGCCAGGGACGTTGATCAGGATATATTACAATCTGGACCGTGGAACGAACTTCAACAAATGTGAAAGAATCAAAATTATAAGTGTAACCTAAGTCAGCAGGGTTTTCTGTTTATATCCAGTCTAAACCTTTTGTGTGGGTTTAATTAAAGCAGGCAGAGAACTGGATTTAACTGGGTTTGGGATTTTTCCAGCTGAACAGTGTGAAGGGATAGAGGACAAGGGAGTTCAAGGGATTACAGGGTTGGATCATGGCATTTAAGCTGGGTAAGAGAAATAAGAAAGGGAAATGACTGGGTGGTGGCAGGTGACAGTCACCAGAGGGTGATGTAGTCTGACGACGTTATCAATGGGGAGGAATGGCCAGCCTAACTCCGGCCATGAAGAGCAAGGAGGCCATCTGTCGCCCCACCAGGCTCAGAGGTGCAAGGAAGTGAGAGAAAGCAGCCTTCGCTTGAGAAAGTGTGAGGGGACTCAGTATTCTTCAGACAGTGCAAGCATTCCCAATGTGAACCAGAAAGCATTCCGATTCTTTCCTTACTGTGGAACAGGCACAGTGGGCATGACAAAGTTCCAACTGGCAGGCTGAGGACACAGTCTTTTCCTTTGTACCAGAGGCCGAAGTAGAATGATAGTGAATGGATAAACTATCACAAAAGAAAGTGGGAAAGGGACCACTGGTAGATGAGAGGTTTCACAAGTTTCTTGTAGGTGAAAAGAGAATGTAAACAGGGCGAAACAAAGCATCCCAGAATATGCAGGAGGGAGAGCAGCAAAGGAGAAGGCCAATGGCCACGAGAAAACCCAGAGGCTCCAGGAAGAGGCCACACAGCTGGCAGGGAGGACAGAGGGCAGGGGAGAGGAGCAGACTCGCAAAATGAGAGTCGATTCACAGTGGTCTCTTCTCCCTTTCCCTTTTCAGCTGTATTGCCAAGAAAGAGATTATAGGAAGCCCAGTATTTTCCTTCAGGCCAATGAAAACAAAAACAAAAACAAAAAACAAAAACCACCTATAGGACTTTTCTCTAAAGATACTGAACTTCCAAGGACCAAATACAACTCCCAGGGTGGGTCCCAGCACTGGTGAGTAAGGCCCTTCGTTTATGTGTTAGAGGAGTCTCAGCTTAAAATCTGGCCATCTACACGCTAGCTACTACAGTGTGCCTGCAGCTGAGCCCTGCCAACGCCACAGAGAGAAGGCAGCGTATCCATTCCTAGGAGACACCCAGTGAGAAAAATAGACACGCGGCTATATAAGCAAGGAAACCCATAGCAGCTGCAGAGAGAAACCAACACCATTCCCCATCATTAAGTGGGAATTGACAATCATCAGGAAGAAGACAAACATCTGAGCGTGAAATGGCAAAGCTATACAAACACAACAAGTCACTCAGAGAAAAATATCCAGGTAACTAATTCAGTGAAGAAAACACAACAGCAAACAACTCTCTAACAAATACACTCAGAGTTTCTGAGATATTGTATGGGTGTGGACGCAAACAAGAGCGGGATGCTATTGTAAAGGAACAATCAGGAAAGTAATTAGAAAAAAAGCAATAGAATAGCTGGAAGATAAGCCAAAGAAATTTACCAGAACATAAGTCTCAGAGATGGAAAGTTGGGGGAAAAGATAAAAGGCCTTCAAGGATCAATTCAGAAAGTGAGTTATCTAATAGAAGTTCCAGAGAGGGGAAAAACCAGAGAAAAGTGGATAGAACAAATAATATAAGAAATGTTCCCAGGGTTCAAAAGAAACATAGTTTTCAGATTTGAGAAGGTCACATAGTGATGACTGCCACACACATCTTTCACGAATTTCTCTGCACTGGGGACAGGTTACGTCCTAAAGCCGGGAGAGGGAAATGGTAAGGAGAATAGAGAGGGAGAAGGGAAGAGTACGGGAGGGGGCAAGATTGAGAAAGTAACATTCTTTAAAAATTCAAGTGCACTGCCTGGCGTAGCTCAGTGGATTGAGCATGGGCTGCAAACCAAAGTGTCGCAGGTTCGATTCCCAGTCAGGGTACATATCTGGGTTGTAGGTCACAGCCCCCAGCAACTGCACATTGATGTTTCTCTCTCTCTCTCTTTCTCCCTCCATTCCCTCTCTAAAAACAAATAAATTAAATCTTTTAAAAAACTGAATGGTAAATTTTATTTAAAAAAATATCCAAGTCCATTTGCCATCGGGCTTCCCCCATACAAAGGGGTTCTAGAAGACAATGGACCCAACTCCTTCAAGACTCTGAGAAGGGGCATCCAACCTGTGGCCTGTAGGCCCCATGAGGCCCAGGATGGCTATGAATGTGGCCCAACACAAAATCATAAATTTACCTAAAACCTTTCTTTTTGCTCATCGGTTTTAGTTAGCATTTGTGTATTTAATGTGTGGCCCAAGATAACCCTTCTTCTTCCAGTGTGGTCCAGATATGCCAAAAAGTTGGACACCCCTGTAAGGGAAAATGATTTTGAATCTAGAATTCTGTACCTTGCTAAACTATCAGTCAAATGTCGGGCTGACATAAAATGTTTTCACAAATGCAAAGGAAAGAAAGTGTGTCTGCCACAAGAATACATCTTGTACAGCTCTGATTATGGGGAGTACAATTCACGTGGGCCCTACTTTTGAGCCTATAATCCATGACACACTTCTCAGCCAGCAACTGAATGTAGCAGAAATACTAAGGCAAATCTGTTTCTGGGAGACAGGGAACTCGCCAGTGTCTCTGTCAAGCCGATCCTTTGACTAAATGGCAGTCTGGAACACTCCTGCCCAATCCTCTCTCCCTCCCTTCGTCACTCAAGCTCCAGACTGCACCACGGGCTGGCAACTCCCCGGGTCTCACCCAGCTTCTTCCCTAGTTTTCCTCATGCAGGGACCTTTAATCCTATCTTGAAATCTACTTCTCAGTGGAATCACACTAATAGAAAGTTTACCTCTTATGCACATTCTTGAGGAAAAACCAGCAACAACAAGGGGGGAAAGGGAAAGAAAAAAATCAGAAGGAGCAAAACATGAGATATAAATGGAAGACCTGACCAGAGTTCGGTAAACATGAGGTTTTGCAACAACAGGCCTAAAAAAGGTCTGGTGTGAAGGTGGTTGCTCAAAGTTACCTTTTCCCTCTTTCTTCCTGGCACTCGTCCAAAAGCAACAAGGAGAATGAGAAACAAAATATATAAACTCCATTTAAAGAGAAATGTAGAGACAACAAAAACACCAGGTCACATGATAAATGAAAGGGCTGCTAGAACAGGCGTTTGAGGGGGGTTTACTTAGCGACGGGGTCTTCAGAGATAAGGTGCCATGGCCACAGCTCTCAGAAAAGGCCAGCAAAGCACCATTTTTATTTATTTTTAAAATTTTTATTTTAGAGAGTGGGGAAGGGAGGGGGAAAGAGAGGGAGATAAACATTGGGGCAAGAGAGAAATATCGATTGGTTGCCTTCTGTATGCACCTTGACCTGAGACCAAACCTGCAACCCAGGCTTGTGCCCTGACTGGGAATCTAACCAATGACCTTTCGGTTTGCAGAATGACACCCAAATCACTGAGCCTCACCAGATGAGGCAAAGCACCCCTTTTAAAGGTGCGAAGCACTCTTGACAGCCAGTCCCAGCAGGTCTAGAGAACAACCGGCTCAGAAATGAGAAAGCACGTTTTCATGGGGGATGGTTCCAACAGCAATGATTTTTCAAAGAAACAATTAGATTTCTTGATATTGTTGGCCTTGTAGAAAAATATTCTGATAGACTTTTGGAAGTTGTGGGTTGAATTAACAATTAAGTATTAAAAAAGTAAATAAAAAAGTAAGGCAATTATTAACTACTGATAAAACATAAATTAAGAAAGGAAACATAATCTCAGTGCACTACAATGCTCAACTGTGAATAATATTTGTGTAAGCACATTATGTAAACAGTGAATATTGATCTAAGGACTGTAACGTAACTGCACGGGCAGAAGCAGAGGACAGGAAGCAGGGACCCCGTGGTGGGGGTAAGAGATCTAGATTCCCAACTGCGATAATGGGAGGCCAGTAGACAGCATCTACAGTTGACGAAGTAAGAGATAGTAGCATATGCTTGTTATTTAGGAACATGGAAATGAGTAAACCCAGGAAAACAGCAGTTGACAGAAGTAGCCTTTAGGGAGGGAAACGTGGAATGGGGGAAGTGGAACAGGGAATCATATTTTGTTGTAAATATTTTAGTTCAGTTTGATGTTTGAAACTATGTTATTGTTAAGACAACAATTATATTTAAAACCGACCATTTCTCCTAGCACCTGTGCTTGTGGGTCTCATGGCTGCCTGTCTACACCGTGGCACCTTCTCCTGGCCACCCTGGCCCAATGGTAAGGCTTAGAAAAAACAACAGTCCCGCCCCCTACACCCCCCAAAAACCAGCTCTTATTTTTCTATGGGTGTGTGTTTCTTAAAGTGTGCTGTTATTTCAAAGAACTACACCCTATATAAAATACATGGAAGAATGAAGAGAAGGATCACAGGCAAGAAAATGAGAACTATAATTATTGTGTTTGCTGAAAACACTTTAATGCAAGTTAAACACCTTCCTGAACAGTAATCTTAATTTCTCATGTAGCTGATTTCCTTTCAGTTTTCCCCATCTGCATTTCCTGGGTGGAAGTCCAGCTCTCAGTCTTTTGATGGCCTCCCAGCTCCTCGGGGCCTGCTCTAGGGGTCTCCGAGGGGCCCAGGCTCCCACCAGCCTTAGCCCATGTCCAGCCTTTGCTAACACACTCACCTTCTCTTGGAGAGACAAGGTCATACCTTCCCTGAGAGCAGTGTCCTGCCCACCTCCTCAAGTCCGGCACAGAATACACAAAGATAATTAGTTGGGTGAATGTTCTGTCTTCCTAACCTCAGACCAATCCTTGAACTGAGCTGGCAGGATCCTAGTTTGTTTAGTCCAACCACCTCATTTCCCAGAATCCCTGGTAGGAGCCAACATTTGTTCGGGTCACTTGGTGAGTTGGATACTGAAGTGAGTGTGTGTGTTAGTGTCCTTCATAGGGCTGCTGTAACAAAGTGCCACACACTGGGGGTGCCAAATAACAAATTTATTCTCTCATGGTTCTGGAGGCTGGAAGTCCAAAATCAATGTGTGGGCATTGCAGGCTCCCTCCAAAGGCTCTAGGGGAGGATCCTTCCTTACCCAGTCCAGCTGCTGGTGGCCCCAGGAGTCCCCTGGCTTATGATGGCCTGACTCTAATCTCTGCCCCCACCTTCTCACGGCTGTCTTCCTTCTGTGTCTGGGAGTCTTCGTGTCTTCACATGTTTCCCCTTGTATCTTCACATCTTCTTTTTATGAGGCCAGAAATCATATTGGATTAAAGGCCCACCCTAGTCCGGTATGACTTGATGTTGACTATGCAGATGTTAACCTCGGCAATGACTCTATTTCCAAATAAGATCATATTAGAAGGTTAAGGAGTGAAGCTGTGAACATACCTTGGGAGTGGGGGGGAGGCAGGGGGCACAGACACGATTCAACCCCTCCCGGCATGAAAACAGATTTTCTACCCAGGGAGCAGCGGGTTTACGCTAGGTCACAGGTTTGTGCCTCTGTCCGGGCTGCATGGCCTGGCTCCACCCAGCCCCTCCCCATGAAGACAGCTCTTCCAACTTGCTGATAGGATACTTCAATGTTACCACTTAAAGGTGAGTCTGCATTTTAAAGGAGGCTCTGAAAACCAGTGATTCCTTTGAGAGCCAAATATAATAAGTGAAAAATGAGAGGCAGACTTTCAACTTCAGTGAAGGGCAGTGTGAAGGAAGCATGGCCCCTGAAGTCCACGCATCACACTCTGTGAGCTTCCACTCTGTACTCACAAGCTCAGAGGCGAAGGCAGGTGCTTGGGGACAGAAACACTCCTCTGCATCCAAGAGCATCGGCACGTTTTCCACACCTCAGCATCCCCCACATCTCAAGACCGCAGCTGTGGCTGGGAGGTTGGGAAAGCAGGTGGCAGCACAGCATTCCCATCATGCTCACCTTTTCCCGACATTTGGAGACTGGCCTGCATCCCGTGGTCTGGTCCCCTGCAGTTGCCACGATGACCCAAGCAGGCCCACGATGACGCAGAAACAAGAGCCCAGGGTCACATGTCCCTCTCTCGCCATGAAAGAGCAATAATGATGGACTCACCCTTTTAGAATTACATAATCTTTTGGGCTGGAATGTGCTGTCTTCATTTTTCTTTTTGAGACCACAGGCCTCTGTGGGTAAGAACAGGCTGTCAGGTCATGCTGGCCCCCTGGTGTTTATTTTAAAAGCCACGAGAATACATCTGATTCACGTCGTCAATGATTCAGCCTTCTCTGTAATTGTGAGGGAGGAGAACTTTGTGTTGAGGCCTCTACTTCCCCCTCCTTGCTTCCTTTCTCCTCCAGTGTCATAAGTTGCTCCAGTCCTTCTAAAAGAGCCCATGCCTTTGTGTTAACTGGTGTCACTCTCCCAGGCCACTCTGCACTATTAAAGAGCACAGCAGTGAGAGCGGCAAAGGAGGGCAAAGCCTTTTGTACAAAGAAGGGAATTGGGGGCAGTGGGAGGGCTTCCAGTTAGCCCACCGCTACCTCTGCTCAGAACTGATGTAGACAGCAGGCCTTCGATTCAGGAACCCCATCTGCTCACTGCAGGAGGGTGTGGAGGGGAGACCCAGGGACTGACAGGAGGCAGGGCGAGCCCAGAGTCCAGAAGGCTGGCCCCATGGGCCAGACATAAGCAAACCATCATGTTCATCCATCAAAACAAACTTCAAAGGCAGCGATAAGACAAGAATGCTGGGTAATGACATGCCTGAGCTTCCCTTCATCTAAACATCTGGAATCTCTTGAAAGCACTAATTATGCCTTCCTCCCTCTGGATGGAGAAGGACCCATGTGGTTGTCACCATGCGAGGACATCTCAACCCACTGGGCAAAGCACTGAATGACTGGAAGCAGGAGCTGGCCTCAGCCCTGTCCAGGTGGTGGTTTTGAGGCAAATTCCCGAAGCAGAGTCTTGGCTCCATTGTGTTAAAAATGAGGGAAGTAGTAATAATAATAGTGGCTTTTAGGGAGCAGTCCCAGTGCCAGGTTTTGTGCAGGGACCGCCTTACCCTGGAGGGGCCGCTGCTGCAGTGGGGCCCGTGGTGCAGAAGAGAAAATCAAGGCCTAGAGAGAATGATGGACTTGGCTAGAGAGTTGAGATGCTGCTATGAGGAAGCCAGGGCTGATAGACTGAAAAAAATCTAATGAGACCCAGCATGCAGAAGAGCTTGGAAAAGTCCCATGTCACACAGAAGTAAAGGGGAGTTTCAGGGCCAGAGGCCCATCCCAGCTGCTACCTGGCCTTCCACCCCGGGCCACAGCCTGTTGAATCCCTGGGTCCAGCTGCCCGGCTGCTGGTGCCTGGGTGAGGTTTAGTCAGACTTCCCGTGGCTGCCATGGGAGGAACAGCATAGACAGTCCTAGATTAAAATGTTTTGTTCCTTTCAAAACCCTCTAAATGTGTTCTGAACCCTTCATTCTAGGAAAGCCAACCCATTCCAGCCTTAATCAGTTCTGGAAAAGCAATCATGAAAGTGGGAAGATAATAGGCAAACATTATTATTCTGTGTGCTGCATTCTACCCCTTCCTGGTGCTTGAGACACATTATCGGACATTGGAGAAAACATGGGAGGTGGAAGTGGAACGCACAGTGTCTTTTCGGCTTTTGTTATTGAAAACGTGGTTGATTGTGTAATTGATGATGGTGCACTTTCAAGCGGTGACATCAAGATTCCACAGCACCACTGGTTCTCAGCTGAGTGCCTGTGGATAACCAGCCAGGAGAAGTCTCCCCAGGCCCATCACAACCCCTGCGATGGGAAGGCGGCGGGTCTAAGCACCTGGGGTTCTTGGTTCTTCCTCCCTCCACTCAGGCTCATTGGGCACTGTGCTGCAGCTACAGGGAATGGAGGGTGGGGAGACCCCTGCTTTGGGCGGCGCACTGCAGAAGCCCACACTTGCTCCAAGCGTTGAAGGACGCGTGTGGAGTAGGCTACCCGGGCACACGAACGCAGGGTGCTGTCCAGGGGTCCAGCAGGGAGGCTGGTGGCTCTGCTAAGGCCAGACCTGAAAGGCATCCTTGTAAGTCATGTGAAACAAGTGGTATGCTCCCTGGGGAAAGGGCAGTCAGTCTGGAAGGATCTCAGTCAAGGATGTGAGTGAAGGGACTGGATTCGTGTGTGGCAAGGCGCCCCCAGAGGCCACAGGGCGGTGCAGCAAGCCTCCGAGGGGTGGGCCGCTTCCGCAACCTGGGAGACAGGTCTCCATCAACTGACATGGGGCCTGGAAGCACGTGCTGCTTTTAACATTTTTGTCCAACTTTCTGCAAAAGCAACTGCTTGCTATCTGGTGAATATGCGATGCCGTTAGTGAGAATTTAGGACATAAAGCAAGATTTCTTCAAAAGTAAACTGTTTTGTGATTGCTGTATGGGTCTCAAATTGCAAACTTGAATAGATGAAATGAAACATTCTTTGTGGGATTTTAAAATCCTTTTAAAACATTGTGGACGCTGTTGTTCTCCACTTAGGGGTTCACCTGGTGATAAAAGGACAACCGTGAACACTTACTACGTGTTCTGCTGGGTCCTAGGAGCGTTCAACAAATCGACTCATTTAATACTCACAACAGCCCCTGAGGCGGGCACCCTTATCGCCTCTAGCAGACCAGCAAGGACGCTGAGTAACCACCCAGCTAGTAATGGAAGTGCTGGGACTTGCCCCCAAGCAGCCTGGCCCCAGAGCCCCTCTCAGCCACTTGGCATCCGGCTCATCACTTGATATGTTCAACACAGACCAGCATTTAGGGGCACCACACACTAAATACAGGTGTGTTCTTTACCTGTGGGCATATATGTGCAAGGTTTTGTGTACATGTGCATTTTTCTGGAGACGGTCTTTACTCTCAGCACCTGCTGGATCTCCGTCACTGAGTAGCAGTGTGACCTTGGACAAGCTGCTTCTCCTCTGTGCCTCAGTTTCCTCCTCTGTAGAATAAGGTGGGGGGGGGCGGCAGTAAGCTATGTGACCTCAGGGACTGCTTCCAGCTCTGATATTCTCCTGCTCCGAGTTAGTCTGAGAAATGTCTGAGCCCCTCCACCATGGGGGCTGAGCCGCCTCGGGGAGCGCTGGGTCCCTGTGGGGGTCGGGCCCTGTCAGGATGCCACTGCAGCTGTCGTCAAGGGCAGGTCGGGCCTGCAGGATCTGTTTCTCAGCTGCACTGAGCCTCAGTGAAGGGCACAATGGCAGAGGTGGATTTGTGTCTGTCTTCCGAGTGAATGCCAGATTCAGACCTAGTCCTGCCCTGGGCGCGGTCTGGGCAGGACTAGGGCTGGGACACGTCTAGAGACAGCGGGCAGAGGCCTTACACGCAGGATGCTGGCCTTCCTGCCAACACGGCCATAAGCAGACAGAAGATAAATGGGAAGGAAATAAGAGATGTGATCACATCTGCACCCCAAGCTTAGTAATGATTCATGGGTTATATTTACAGACAATATAGTAAGGCTTCAGGCCCAGAACTGGAGGGCAGGTCAGCAAACACTGCTGTCGGGAGTGGCACTAATGAGAATTGCAATGCAGAGGCTGGCAGTAGAGGCCCAGAATATATTCCCAGGAGCAGCCTCAGTGTTTGGGAGATGGCTGAAGGATAAGATGGAGGTGCCTCCCTTCGTGTCACCAGGAAGTAGCCGCCTGAAAATGCAATCTGTGGGAAATAAGCTGTACTCCCCACCGGATCGCTCCTGGGTGATCTGATAAACTCTTTTCTGGCCCTGCGTTGGGAGAGCCAGATGGATGGTGAACTAACCAACGGGCCC